GTGGTCAAGGAGGCTGGGCTCATAGCCTGTTCCCTTTTTGTGGGCTATTCTCTACAGCCTGGCTTTTTCCCTCACCAGGAGATTCCCGGGTCATGCGTTTTGCACATCAGTATGTCCTGAAGGTTTCAGTGATGCGCCCAGGTGAAAATCCCTTAGGCCTTGGGCCAGCACTTAAGAAAGCGAAGAGGGTAAGAAAAACAACCACCTTTTACTGTTGTGCTTAGTCAGGGGAGACTTCGAAACACAGATTGATATAATCACCTTTGAAGTCTCATGAGATCAGAGAGCAGTTCTCATGGATATTTAGAAATTGTTTGCATTATTGTGATATAAAGCTACTCCAATTCCCCAAATATTCAAAGGCCTCAGAGACACAACAAAATAAAATACAAAAGAAGGAATACAAAAAATATAAGAATAATTTTCAAAATCCATCTCTATTTGAAAGGTAAAAAAAAACCCTTAGAAGTAAAAAACGAAGAAATAAACAAAAAACCACAAACAATGAAAACCCATAGAAACTGAAATGAAAATCTCAATGGGGCCGGCAGAGTGGCGCGATGGTTAAGAGCTGGCTTGGGATGCCAGAGGGCCCCGGTTCGGATCCCACATATGAGGGCCAGTGACACTGCCCTCTACAGCTAAGATGCTGAACAGCAGCTCAACCTGGAGCTGGGCTGCTGTGAGTCGCCGGCGACGGCGTAGGCTGTAGTCCCTGCTGCAGTGGGTTGTCATGGGCTACTGTGTGTAGCCAGCAGCCAGCATGAGCGGTCAGCAGCCGCAGTGAGCGGCCATCCAGAAGCCGGCGACTGATCTGCCTTGCCCGGGAAGAGCGCAATGATGGTGGCAACTTGGGCCAGTGAAGCAACATCCTCCACAATGAGACTAAAGTACAAAACGACAGCAACTTGTATGTTCCCCTTCCCCCAATTCCCCAATAAAAAATCTAAAAAAAAAAAATCTCAATGGATGGATTAAGCCACAAAGAGATCCTGGAAGAAAGAATTAAGTGGCCTGGTAGATGGTGCTTTGAAAATGACCTCCTTCCCTGTTCCTTCTCTTAGCTGATGATGTTGCTTCCTCCTTCCATGAAAAACTGCAGCAGCCCCTCCTCAGAGATCTGAGCTCTGTCTCTTCCACACCACTCATCCTGGTTTCTAGGCCTCTGATGACGCCAACCAATTCCCTTCTTCCTCTCACTCTAGGTGTGGCAGCTTCTTCCTGTATTATCTCTGTTACTTCAGTAGCCCTTTTTGCGTTTTGAGCCCTTCAACTCCTGAGTAACCAACTCCTTATAGTCAAGTTCCAGTTCCTTACCTCTCAGCTCAAGTCACAGTATGACAAGCAGAGAACTTCCACGAGAGACCAAAAAATTCCGTACTTCCTATATCTGCAGCGCTAAATATGCTGAAAATCCAACACAATGTTTAATTGTGTGGGTTACAAAATCCCAGTGTCATTTGAATTCCCAGCCTCTCCATGCTTCTCATGTGAAAGTAGGGTAGTGGTTGGAGGAGCAGGACCCTGAAACCTGGAAATGGGACATCTGGTTGGTCTCAGTTGAAGCTGACCATTTGGAAGCCCCCAGGTCCCTCCCTTGCTGGTGTAAGTAGCCTGCCCTCCTGTGTCTGGAGGACTGGTGTTCCATTGCTAGAGGACTGTGTCATTATCTCACTTGAGCAAGTCCCTTGCAAGGGGACACCAGTTGTCCTTGAGACCTTCTGCAACCCCCCCCCCCGCCCGTTGCCACTGGACCCAAAACTAGGGTCCAATAACAGCATGCTCCAGGGAGACAGGCATACACTAACGGTGGGGCTTCTTTCATCTCTGCTCCTACACCCGCTGCTGCACTCCTGTGTTCCTCCTCTGAATGTTCTGTAACTCTGCTCTCTGTTCTCACCAAGTAGGGATCACACCTAGGATCATTTCAGGATTCCTGAATTCCAGGCCACTGCTTTTCTGATCCCAAGCACGGCCTGGCAGGGCATGGTACCACAGTAGGGAGGGAGAAATTACCCTTTTACCTTCTGGTGGCAAGTAAGGCCACCCCTGGGTCGGTGTGTCTGTGGTGGTCATGCTCTGGCTGAAGAACTCAGCTGCCAGACCCCAGTTGCTTCCGAGGTCTGAGTCTCCACATCACTTGCCTTCCCCTTTAGTCCAGGTGGGCCCTGGGCTGCACACCACACTTACTTGCACCTCCACCCACCAACACCCTCCCCTCCCCTGCACCCGGACCCCTCCACCGCCATCACAACCACAACCCCATTCCACCCAAGTTACCCTTTTCTCTCTGGCCATACATTTGTCCTCCATCACCGGTCAGTCTGCGGTTAGAAGCAGTGCCCTTGTTCGACTCATTCTTGGGGGCCAGGGAAGCCCCTCGCCACATGGGTGCCTGGCCCTGTGCAGCCGGCTGGGCTCGAACCTTGCGACCGTGGGTGTTCCCCGTCCTGTGATGCCCTCCATGCCCGGTGCGTCGCTGGCGGCGCTGATTGGCTGAGGCTCAATGAGTGACGGGACAAAACCCAATGATGTGGCTTGGGCCGCCGCCCTCGAGTTGATCGGCCCTCGCAGGGCGTGCGAGCACTGCCAGCTCAGGGCCTGCGGGGTTCGTGGGGCCCGGGCTGGCGCGAGGGTGTCAAATGGTGGGTAGAAGACGCACCAGTAGAGAACAGGTAGTTCGGAGGGGGCCAAGAGCAACCAGGCCTGTAGAGGAGGGGAGGGCTGGCCAGGGAGGGGAAAGGCGGGCCCGATTCATCAAGCCCTGGGCTTGAGTGAGACCGGGAAGGGGCTGGGGCGGGCGGAGGTCCGAGCCAGCGGTTGGGGAGGAGAAAACGGTCAGGAAGGCAGGGCGGCTCTAAATGGGGACAGTTCTAAAATCCTTTCCATAGCTCTATGAGATAGATACTATCACCATCATCAGCACCAACATCCCCCTTTACAGATGAAACGGGGGCAAAATGAGTTACCTAGTTACCTTGCCTCACCCCGCCCCAGTAGCCCACCTGGAGATGAAAACCAAGCAGTGGGGGCACCCTCCCTGCTTGCCGCTCTTCAGTGGGAGGGAATCAGAGCAGCAAGACGTTCAGAAGGCTCAGGGGCAAGGGTACCTGAGTCCGTGGTCCCAGACAATTAAACATTCAGCGCCTACACCAGATGACAGTGTGCCTACTCCCCGCACCCCGCACCCCCGCACTCAGGAGCTACACCTAGGCCCAGCTGGCCACAGTGCCACTCCCTTCTCTGAGTGATCGTGGCTACTCAGCACCTATTACTAAATCAGTCCTGCTCTTCTTGCCCAGCGCCTGTGCGGGCCTGAATTAAGGCTTTTGGAATAGCACTTTAATGATGGATTGTATTTGTTGCTCCATTTATAAAGGTAGCTGGTGTGCTCCTGCACTGTTTCTGCTGTAGGTATCACCAGATGGGGGCATTGTACACCTGAGTTCACACAGGTGTGGAGCTAATGCACGGCCACACACATTCTGGCTTCACTGTGTTCACAATGGCTTGCTTTAGAGGATACAGCGCTTTTTATTTTTTTTTTTAGCTGAGCCATCCTGCCACCTGTTGGCAGCTCAGCGGCTACTCAGCTCTGGCCGGTATATACAGCGCTTTTTAGATGTCACAGCACATTGTCTCATTCGCTCCTCACAAAACTGTTTAAACACACTCACTCAAAAGAGTAAACAGAATTATCACATGACACAGCAATTCCACCCCTAGGTTAACACACATACTTGAGAAGTGAAAATATACATCCGCAAACTTGAATACAAATGTTCTTAGCATTATTCATGACAAAAAGTGAAAACAAGTAAAAAATAGTGAAAATTCCAATGTCCATCAACTGATGAGTGAATAAAATATGGTCTACACAAAGGATGAATTATTATGTGGCCTTAAAAAGGAATGAAGTTCTGGCACATGCTACAACGTGGATGAACCTCAAATGCATTATGCTAAGTGACAAGCCAGGCACAAAAAGGCCACATACTATGATTCCATTCATATGAAATGTCCAGAATAGCTAAAGCCATAGAGACAGAAAACACATGAGTGATTGCTAGGGGCTGCAAAGATGAATGGGGAGTGACTTCTAAGGGGTGCAGCGGGTTTTTTTGGGTGATGCAAATGTTGTAAAATTGACCATAGTGATGGTTGTACAATTCTGAGTATACTAAAAAAAAATTCAATTGTATACTTTCAATGGACAAATTGTATGGAGTATGAGATGGTTAGTTGAGGTAGTAAGCATTTTTGCTTATGTCTTTTCTAAATTTTCTACAATGACTATCAACTGTGATTTTTACAAAAAAATTAACTGGTATTTTAATAATTTTGTGTTTTTTATATTTTTGATATATTTTTGTATCAATTATACCAACTATTTTACCAAAAATTTTTCTGAAATTTTATAAAGTAAGCACAGCAAATATCATGCTCATTTTACATGCCAGTAAATCAGCTCCATGGTTTAAGAGGGCAGGAACAGAATGAGAAGGCCCCAAGGAAGACTATGAGTGGAGTGCCAGGCTAGTTCTTTGGTCTCTACCACACATTCTAGAACAAAGACCCCTGGTGACCAGTTAATGAAGGAAATAAAAATAAGGACCATGACATACTATACACATCCAGTCAATTTTAAATGCAGTTTTGAAGTTTGCCCCATTTTTATCTGCCTGGTCCTTTTTTCTTATATTCCATTCACATGATTTATGTGTTCACAGCAGAAATCAATCAGCTCAGGGGTGGCTTTTCAGGCCACACACTGTCCTCCTGCCCAGTGCCCTTTCCTGGGTTTGCTGTTGGGTGACATGGTTGTTTCTCCTTCTGGGTTAGATAGAAGCTCCTTCCTTATGATTTTATCAAGAAGAAACAAAATCACACATACAAAGCACAAATGGAATAAAGCAGCTGGTTTTAAAATGCTTTATTAACATGAACATTAACTAGTATCTTTAGTAGATGAACATAATCGAGCTAACAGTTTGGTCTGGTTACTGGGCAAATGAGACATTCTCAGATCTCACCAGAATGCAGTGTAGGGACTAGAACTAGTTGTATCACACAGCAGTCATCACAAGTAGCACAGGACATCCTAAAGAGCTTTCACTGCTGCACAGCCTCTGCACTCTAGGAAGGTAGTGGAAGGCGGACACCAGAGGAAATCCCAGGGCAACTGCAGTCACACAGAACCCAGGAAGCGGGAGGTAAGATGGTAGCACACGAATTCCCCACCTGGGACAGCAGCGCGCAGCATGGTGCTATAGTGCTGCGCCACCTGGCGGCTGCAACATAACTTCACATTTTCTTGACTTATGAGGAAAATACACACATTGAAGAAACTGTTGCCCAATGATGATCCCCAGCCCAGCTATTTGTAGTCTCATCAGAAAATTTGATACTAGGTGGTTGTTTTGTTAGCTGTTTTGTCACTTAAAATCTTATAACCTACTTTTATTACTAAAAGATAAGAGTTACTTGTATATGTAGTTATGGCTTAAGAGGAAGGTAGTTAACTTGGTTTGCTTTTAAGAAGCACAGTCTAGATTTAAATGATGGTTTGGCAACAAGTATACTGTATGGTAAAGAGGCTGGTATTTTAAGACCAAAGCCAACAGATATTTTAGTTCATTAAAATACATTTCACAGCCATAATAATGTGTTTGGCACTAATTCCAAACATATCCAGCAGCTCACTCGAACGTCCACTCCGAGGCACTCCTAGCACTGCCATCTGACAGACCTGGATGCCAGGCTCCATGGAAACAGCTGCACAGACGGCCTCCCCGATGCCACCTGGAGAAGTAAGGGATGTTAGTCTCTGTTCTAGAAGTAGCTGGTCAGACTTAAAAGACCCATGATATAGAGGCCTTTGAATTTGCTGGTTCCCAGGGGAGAATATTTTTTACTTGCTATTGATTCATGGAAACAATCATTCTCTGACTGGCCAGAAGAGTTCTCCTTTGAAACTGCGGGTTTCCAAGTTGCTTGCTCCCAGCCCCACCTACAGTAGAGGCTCTCTCAACCAGGGTTCAATGGATGGAGGGGTCTGCGGCGCTCAGATTCTCAAAGCTCTCAGGAACCCCAAAATAATTAAAACCAACAAATGAACTGTACAGAAAAGAGCAACTGGCAGGCCTGAGGCGGCCAGCTTCAGAAGGGCCACTTGCAGGGTTGGCCCTCAGGTGGCGCCAGGCAGTGGGCTGGTGCAAGTCCCCTCAGCCGAAATGACACTTTCCCTACTGATAAGGTCAGTCCCTGCCCCCGGACTGTTTGCATAACAGGGTGGTTTCTGTGGAGCACCTGCTTTCTTCTGGGAGGTGGGAAATTTGGTGTGTGCCTGGCACAGGGGGCCCACTGTGACCAGCCCCCAATAAAAGCTGGGGTGCACTGGGTGCCGAATGGGTTCCCTGGGTGTGCAGTGGTGCATTTTTCACTGCTGAAGAGGGGAGAGTGCTCTGCAGGCCCCTCAAAGGAGGGAGGGAGGGAGAGATGGAAGCTAAGGCCTGGGGTTCTCCACCCCTGACCTGTGTCCTCTGTCCTCGCGGGTCCTGGTGTGTGCCCTGTCCCTGTATTCAACCTCAGCCCTGAGGGCAGTGGGAGTGCTTCCAGAGACTCACTGTGGACCACGGGTGTGCTCTTGGGCCTCCTGACATGCAAACAGATGAAGCTCCTCGTCCCCTCACATGCCCCACCTAACTTTCTCAGGCCAAGCACTGTCCAGCGCTCTCTCCCTGACATACTTTTTCCGCATTTGCTGTGTTCTCTGCTTGCAAGGCACTATTCCCATATCTGGAGGGGCAAACCATTAATCATTCAAAACTCAACAACAACTGTGAAGCTTTTAATGACCTTTCCCTGCCCACAATGCCAAGTTAGACACTCCTTGTGCTGCCATTGAGCCACCCAGGGACCAGGCGTTATGCACTGTGCCGGGGACACACAAATGACTATGGGATCCCCACACTCAAGGAGCCAGTGTAGATGGGCAAGAGACCCCCTAAACTGATATACTTAACAAAGAGCAATAATAAAGGCCGTGAGGCGAGTGGTTGACTGGAGGTAATGCCCAGGAGCACAGGTGCCTCCAAGGAAAACAAAAACATGTCCCACCAAAGCAGACTTTGAAAAGACACACCTTCTGGGTGGTGATCCTCCACTGTGATAATGTGGCCACCTGTGGATTTTGCACTGGCGATGATGGTGGTAGCATCCAGGGGCTTAATGGTAAACAGGTCTATGACACGGATAAAAATACCTGGAAAACAGCAATAACCAGTTTGGTATATGAAGCAGACTTAGGATAAAAAGACCAGTTGGGGTACATGAGGCAGCCCAAGCCCCACCTCTCCCCAGCTGCAACTTCAATATTTAGCACCAGCCAACTGACCTTGGTTGGAAAGCTCCTCAGCAGCTGCTAAGGCTTCATGCAGAGTAACTCCAGCTCCAATAACTGTGACCTGGTCCTTGACACTGTAGCGGACGACCTGATGTTGCACACCAAAACAAGACCTGGATGCTGTGGTTACTATTCACAGAATGTCTCTCACAGTGAGTGGATGTACTGCTCTTTCCTGGTCCTACCAATTCGAGTCCTTAATAATCCTCTACAAAAACACTGACTCAGCACACTGACAAATAAGGACATGCTTGCTGTTAAGCCCCACTTCATGTTTGTTTTATACATTCATCTACCCTTCCTCATGATTTCCACTGCCAAATCACTAAGTTCTTATACAAAACCTATACATAATGACCTTTTAACAAAGAAGGTGGATTTCAAACGGGGGTCTAAAAGGCAGAGGGCCAGAAGTGTACATCTGTACAGCCCATGTACTCTAGAGCACGGACTCATACCCATTGAGGGGTCTGGAAAGGCACCATCTGTGGACTGCTTGGACATATCGCTGGGGTGTATGCACAGATCGGACTCCACTGATGAACATATTAACAGGGACTGTTCTGGGGCATTTGCGACATGCTCTGCGCTGAGCACCTGGCATGTCCTTAGTGCCCTGTAAGGCCTGTGCATTAGTGGGCCCATTCTGCGGCTGAGGAAAATGAATCTCAGAGCAGGAGGAACTCGCCCAGGGCTGAGACTAGCAGCCAGGCCCATCCGATGTCAAAGCCCACACTCTCAACCACTTGCTGTTCTGTAAGCAAAGAAAGGGACCCCTGGCCTTTCTCACAGAGTTTGGTTTCCTCCAAAGCCCCCCAACCAGAGGCATCTGGAATTAGTCAACTCAGCCCTCTGTATAGGTTTCCCTGTAGCTTAAGAAGCACTGCTGACAGTGCAGATATTCAGGGCTTCTAAGCCACTCCATTCTGAAAGTCCTAGCTTTTACACACACACACTCATACACACACTCATACACACACACACACCCAATGTCCCCTCTGCAAAACTCAGTCCTTGACTTATCCATTCCATGCATACTATCACACACTTTAACTCACACCCTTTACCATCAGGAAATGTACCTCATTTTACCAGGGCAGGGCAAATATTGGAGGGAGGGAGGGATGACAGGAGAGACATGAGAAAGCTCTGCAGAAGATATGATTATCGAGACCCCTCTCCCCCCTCCCCCCAGACAAACATATGGTCTTGAGTTTAAATGTGGGAGTACAGAGAACAATAAACCTGTAGTTGACACTGAAGGTGAATATAGCAGCTTTTCCATTCAGTGTTGGCCAGCTATCTAGTGGCAGGATGTACCAGCTTCATTACAGCACTGAAGCTATTCAGCAATCAGGCAGTCATTCTGGGCCTAGCAACTCCAAATTCTGGAGCAGCCTAGCCCACAGCAATCGTTGGATGTCACCGGTTGTTTCTTCCGAGTGGCTACTGGCCTTCCACATATTTAAGAAGAGTATTAATGACATTCTAAAAGGCTTATAGGATAAAAGTAGGGCACAAAGCTCTCCTATGTAGTATGATCTCAACTGTGCAGAGCATACATGCCTAGAAAAAACAGGAAGCAAACATGCCCAAATGCCTGTGAGACCTGCCCTCTAGGTGGTGGGCAGAGCCACGTATTTTCTCCATAGACTGCTGGTTCTCCACAGGCACAGCCCCAATGAGCAGGCACACAGAGGCCACCGGGCCACGGCCTGGGCTTGAATCCTGGTATTGCTGTCACTATGAAGCCTGAGCAACTTGCTTACTTCTGACACTCATCTACAAAACAGGGCTGCTAACAATCTGTGCTTCTAGGGCTTTTGTAAGAACACAGGCAATAGGAAGTGCCCAGTGATGCCAGCCTTTATCAGTAGGCCTGCAGGTGAGGCCAAACCCAATTGGCAAAAGCCATCTCAGGGCCACACAATGGCCAGCAGCAAGATGGTTCAGGTTCCCTTTTATTCCTGGCCTTGAATATGCAAAACTGGAACCTAACCTATCTAGTATTCCTTTGAAATGGGTTCTATTATTTTGTTTAGCTTGAGGCTGTGTTAAGTTACAGCCAAGCATCTCAAGTGCCTTCAAGTTATTAGTGCTTTATCTTTAAGAGTTCAACAAAGAGAGACTGCACTTGGAAAGGAGAAAAGTTCAGTTCAGGCTGATATTGGTAGAATGTTCCTTCCTGAGGAAAAGCAGGCAACTGTCATACTTGATTTAAAAAAAAAACTAAAACAAAGAAAGGATGGATCACTGACTCTGGGGATGCCTGGTGCTAGCTTTAGAACAGTTTTCTGCTGTGAAATGATACTAGAAGACAATGGAGAACCTTCAGGCCTTACCTTGGCCTGTCCAATCTTAAAATGTTCTTGTTGGGTGTAAATAACATCAGTTTCAGGTCGGGTGGTCCGAATGTAGCACATTCCCTAGGGTATAAACGAGAACCAGAGCTACAGTTTAAAAAGTCAAACTCAATTTCCAACTAATAAACCTTTAAAGGGAGCTTGGGGAAGGAGAACCGAACAGGTCAGCATCCCTCTGCACTGTTTGTTTCGAATGTGCTTGTGTTCTATGTGCTTAATCACGTTTTTTGGGTAATGGTTCTATTTTTTAAAAAAGATTTTTATTGGGGAATTGGGGGAAGGGGAAGAGACAAGTTGCTGTCCTTTTGTTCTTCAGTCTAGTTGTGGAGGACGTAGCTTCACTGGCCCAAGTTGGCACCATCATTGTGCTCTTCCCGGGTGAGGCACATCAGTCGCTGGCTTCTGGCTACACACGGTAGCCCGTGGCAACCCACTGCCACAGGGGCTGCAGCCTATGCCATCGCCGGCGACTCACGGCATCCCAGCTCCAGGTTGAGCTGTTGTTCAGCATGTTAGCTGTAGAGGGCAGTGTCACTGGCCCTCATATGTGGGATCTGAACCGGGGCCCTCTGGCGTCCCAAGCCAGCTCTTAATCAATGCGCCACTCGGCCGGCCGTAATGGTTCTATTTTATAAGGAATCCTACAACCAAATTTTCTATAATGCATATCTATTACCTTTATGCTGAGAAAAAAATGGGAAAAATCTAACCACTAGTACCAAACTAGTAGCAGAGGTCACGAGCATTTTCTGTCTGAACCAGTGTCCCCATAGAAATACCTTCGTATTGGCTGCCAGGAACACTGCATGCTCCGTTGAGATGGCATCACTTGGATAGAAAATGGTGCAGTTGGGAATGGCTCGGAACATGGCCAGGTCTTCCAGGGCCATCTGGGAGAGGCTGTTTTCACCTGAGAAGACAAAGCCACAGCCCAATAAAAACATGAGCAAGATCAAGCTAGAACCTTGCCCTCTGCTGGATAAGCGACAGCTCTTAGTGCCACAGGAGGCCCACAAAACTTTTGTGGCAGAGCCCTATAAAACTGTCCAATTCTTATGTCAATATAATGCCTTATAATTATAATGACTTGTCATACATCTATCTCCCTCAAGACATCACTGACACACTCCTGGTTTGGCTCCTAATTGACCTTCCCGATTAACAAACCATTGGTCTCTTCCTGGCTCTGACCGTTGCCAACTTTTGGCACTTGGTCACTGCTGTCCAAGGTGACTTGATGCTCTTCTCCTTGAGCACCAGTGGCCGAGTCGGCCCCACCAAGTTTTTGCCCCTGTCCCCTTCTCCTTAGGAGGGTCCCCCCATGCTCTGTCCTCTGCTCTTCCACCTTCTCCATCAAGAGACTGGGGACTTTCGATTAAAGTAGTCTTATTCACTTCTTAAGGCCTTCAAAGTAGCTGAGCATAACATACCTTGGGCGTCCCCTTGGGGTACTACTGTAACTAAGGGAGCCTTAGTACGTATTTGGAAAAAGTTTCTGGTCAGAAATGCTGTGGAAGAAGAAAGCCCAATGTACACCATGGTGGCCTAGTTCTTTCAGCTAGGAAGGGTTCTGTCACTTGTGCACACTGCCTTGCCCGGGACAACTGTCTAATCTCAGAACTCTCAGCTCCTCTGGGCTGTACCCAGAGCCAGTTCTCCACTTAGCTGACCTATTTCGAAACTTTCACTGTACCCAGCCCCAAGCAAGACTCCCAGATCCCTGCCCAGGCCCTCTGCCTGGACAGGCCCTGAAATGCTGTTGGCCCTCCCCTCTCCTCACACTGCTCTCTTCCTCCACGTCTGGCCCATCCAGAGCCTTCTTAGCCAGTCTAGTTCTCCCACCCAGGGAATCCCAGAGATGCCTCTCAAATGTGCACTTCTAGCCCTCCTACCATCTGCTCCAGCATTAAAGCAGTAAATGTAAGCTGTCACATCTACCTAGGACTCCTGCCCCACTGCAGGCACATCAAGCACCTCATCTTTCCCGAGTTCTCATTTCTTCTCCTTCATGAACATGACTCCCTGATGTTTCCCAGGCAATTTAGGACTCCTGCATCTGTCAGCAATGTTACTTCTTCAGACTTTGTCAGATTCACTCTTATTTTCTAGCCACTGCTAATGCACACCGTATTTCAACCCTCTTCCTGACTTCTGCGTTTCCCACTATTCCCATCTAGCTTGTCCTGCCAGGTTAATGCCGAGAGAGCAGCACCTTCCCCAGTCTCGCTGCCCAGCATTAGGATTCTCAAGGTTTCCCATGCCATGCAACCAGGCTGCTTTGCCCAGGCAAGGCCCTGGCAGGAGGCTGTGCTCCTCACTTCCCTGTGCCCATGATGCTTGTCCCCACTTAAGACTAAGGCGACCACACCAAGAGCAGAAAGGAGTCCTGTAACCCTGAGGTGGCCCTATTCATACCCAGCATGTGGCTAGACATGTAAGAGGCACTCAGGACAGATCATTATTTCTCAATAACTGCAAGAGTAGGCATTTTACAGTAATATCAAGAGATCCGCTCAATTGTTACCCAGAGTATGCAGAACTTTTAAAACACAATATGGCTTTAAAAAGTTACAAATAATCAAATGTTATAAAACCCTAATTACACTGACAAATCAACTGCTCACATACTAATCTTTCTCTAAAGTAGAAAGGCTATCAAGATGATGGCACTGAGAACCCATACCAATGGATAGTCCACAGTGAGACCCAACAAGATTGATGTTGGATTCAGAGATGGCCCCCATCCGGATCTGATCAAATGCTCGGGTCAAAAAGGCAGCGAAGGTGCTAGCAAAAGCAATGGTCCGACCATAGGTGGAGCATCCCAGTGCCACGCTCACCTGTAAAACCAAGAAAGTGAATCAGAACACCCTGGACCCCATCCCCATCACCCCTAACTACCCCCCTTTCTCCTTAGTGTAGAGTGGATCTCCACTGCTCAGCATCCCACCACCACCTGACCCCACCCCCAGGCATGTGCCCAAGGCAACACTCCTTCTAGTAGGCCTGGAAGGCACCCCACAGTCTCCCTGGGTACTCTGTACCTGTTTACCTGGAGACTTTTCCCCCCTCCAGTTCCTTTGCTTTTATAAATGGAAAGAAAAACTGTAAGGTCGTCTGGGCCTCCCATGTCTGGTGGGCCACTATTAATCAGTGAGAATATCAAAGAGGGATGCTCACAGCACACGCACCATGTTTTGCTCAGCAATGAAACACTCAATGAAGCGCTCAGGGTGTTCCTTCTTGAATATCTCGGAGAAGGTGTAGTTCTTGGTGTCACTGTCCAGCACAATGACTCTATCATTTATGTGGCCTATCTTAGCCAGAGCCAAACCACATGCTTTCCGAGTAGCTACCTGGAAGAGTCAAACAGTAGTTTTTCAGAATGGATTGAGAAGGAAGGTGATATTTTGTGGAATTACAAAGTGTCATCTATCTTTTATTATTATTTTTCAATTATAGCTGGCATTCAATATTATTTATTAGTTTCAGGTATACAGCATAGTGGTTAGACATTTATATAATTTAGGCAGTGATCCCCCTGATCAGTCAAGTATCCACCTGACACTATACATAGTTATTACCATGTTATTGACTATATTCTCTATGCTTTGCTTTACATCCCTGTGACTATTCTGTAACTACCAATTTGTACTTCTTATCCCTTCACCTTTCTCACCCATTCCCCCAACACTGCTCCCATCTGGCAACTATCAGTTTATTCTCTGTATTTGAGTCTGTTTTGTTTGTTCATTTATTTTGTTCTTTAGATTACACATATAAGTGAGATCATATGGTATTGTCTTTCTCTGACTTATTTCACTTAGCACAATACCCTCTAGGTCCATCCATGTTGTCACAAATGGTAAGATTTCATTTTTTTTATGGCCTAGGAATATTTCATTGTATAAATGTACTCCCTTTTCTTTATCTAATCATCTTTTGATGGGCACTTAAGTTGTTTCCTTATCTTGGCTCTTGTAAGGAGTGCTTCAGGGAAAACTGATGTTGTATAATATTGTATGTCAACTATAAATGAATATATATATATATATATATATATATATANATAGTCATGGGACGTGGAGTATAGTGTGGGAGTGGAGTCAAGGGAATTGTAATAGATATGTATGATATTGGGGGGGAAGTGGGGCGGCAGATTGGGGAAGTGGGGTTGTCACCTCAAGGGGTAAAAAGTATAACTATTGTACTGTGTTGTACCGCTGAAATTAATTTTTAAAAATGTGTATTTCACACACACAAAAAAAGAGCGCTTCAGGGAACACAGTGGTGCATGTATCTTTTCGAATTAGTATTTTTATTTCTTCGGATAAATGCCCGATGTGGAATTCCTGGGTCATAAGGTAGTTTTATTTTTAATTTTTTGAGGAACCTCCATATTGTTTTCCATAGTGGCTGTGCCAATTTGCAATTCCTCCAATAATGCATGAGGGTTAATTGTATCTTAATGAAGAAAGCAAATTTGTGATTCACCAATTATCTCCTTTAAGGTCAGAAAAATGGATTGCTATCCAACTTAAATCTATACTTGGCTCACTGGGTATCAATTTATCAACAATAAATTTATTCTTTTGTACCATTCATATAGTTGATTACAATTTTAAAATTTCCCCAAATGCAAATGTGTCTGTGACTTTTCAGCTATAAAAATGATTAATACTCACTGACAAAATTAATATGTAGAACTTGAAAATCCTAATACCAATAATAAAGAATTCCACTAGAATGTGGTTTGTGATTGGATTGAATTTATGAATTTAGGGGTGAACGGAAATCTTTACAATATTTTTTTTATTAAAAAACAGGGTTTGGGGCCGGCCAACTGGCGCACTGGTTAAGAGTTTTCTTGGGACGCCAGAGGGCCCTGGTTTGGATCCCACATATGAGGGCCAATGACACTGCCCTATACAGCTAATATGCTGAACAACAGCTCAACCTGGAGCTGGGCTGCTGTGAGTCACCGGTGACGGCATAGGCTGCAGCCCCTGCTGCACTGGGTTGCCATGGGCTACCGTCTGTAGCCAGCAGCCACCGTGAGTGGCTGTCCAGAAGCCAGTGACTGATCTGTCTCGCCCGGGAAGAGCACAATGATGGTGCCAACTTGGGCCAGTGAAGCAATGTCCTCCACAACTAGACTGAAGAACAAAAGATAGCAACTTGTCTGTTCCCCTTCCCTCAATAAAAAATCTTAAAAAAAAAAAAAGTTTGACATTTCCTCAAAATGTTAAAATAGAATTACCATGTGACCCAGTAATTCTAATTCTACTCAGGTATACACTCAAGAGACAAATATATCTATGTAACACTTGTATACAAATGTTCAAAGCAGCATGATTCACAATAACTAAAAGGCCCAAATGTCCATCAATGGATGAATGGATAAACAAAAATCCATAAAATGGAGTATTGTACATGACACAACATGGATGAACTTGAGGACATTGTGCTGAAAGAGGTCAGACACGAAGTTCACATATTATATAATCCCATTTATATGACATGTCTGGAATAGGCAAATCCAGAGAGACAGAAAGTAGATGACTGGTTACTAGAGGCTGGGTGGGAATAGACAGTGACTGCTAATGGGTTAAGTGGTATCTTTTTGGGGTGATGGAAACGTTGTAAGATTGAGTGTAGTGATGGCTGCACAAGTCTGTAAATATGCAAGAAACCACTGAGTTGTACACTTTAAATGGGTGGATTATATAGTGAGCTATATCTCAAAAAAGCTGTTACAAAAAAGACAAGGTTTGGGCCGGCCTAGTGGCGCGATGGTTAAGAACTGGCTTGGGATGCCAGAGGGCCCCGGTTTGGATCCCACATATGAGGGCCAGTGACACTGCCCTCTACAGCTAAGATGCTAAACAAGAACTCAACCTGGAGCTGGGCTGCCATGGGCTACTGTATATAGTTAGCAGCCAGTGTGAGCAGCCAGCAGCCGCAGTGAGTGGCCGTCCAGAAGCCGGCGACTGATGTGCCTCGCCTGGGAAGTGCGCAATGATGGTGCCAACTTGGGCAAGTGAAGCAACGTCCTCCACAACTAGACTGAAGAACAACAACAACAACAAAAAAGACACCAACTTGTCTGTTCCCCTTCCCCCAATTCCCCAGCACTGTTCCCATCCCAATTCCCCAATAAAAATCTTAAAAAAAAAGACAAGGTTTGCCTCTTCATTTATCTTTGTCATTCATCCAAACACTCAAAAATATTTTTAAAAATAGGCAAGTCATGTAGACAGTACAAAATTCAAATTATGAAAGGATATCAAGTGAAGAGGCCATCTTCCTCCTGTTCTCCTGACTCCAGCCACCCAGTTTCCCTCCCCAGGGGTAAATGGAAATGACAGGTTTATGTAGCATCCTTTCAGGAATGACCTACAGAGAAATACTTGGTGAGCATATCCTATGTACAAGGCACATGGACTTCTGTTAGGGCTATAGTTTTATAAGCATCTTAATAAAGATCTTGTATAATTAAGTTTTAGTTTTTTATTGCCATCATTAAAGGGATCACCTCTCCATTTTGTTAATACAAGAAAGGAATTAATCTTTGTATATTAGTTTTGGTACAAGCTCTCTTACTGGACTCTTCTTATATCTAACCATTTCTGGTTGATTCTCTTCAGTTTTCCAGACATACAATTCAATCATCTAGAGTGATGATAGGCTTACCTTCTTGGCAGGGCTGAGACTTTTATTCTGTTATCTAACTGCATTGGCTAGCACTAACAGAGTGTGGCTGACTCTCTGCCGGGTTAATGAGATGTTTTTACTATTAGGTATGAAAAGGGGTCCAGGTTTAAAATATCTAGATTAAGAATAAAATTGAAGTATTTCACCAGTTCTAGTTTGTCTTACTAAGATGTTTTAAAAAAACAGGAGTGAATGAATTTCATGAACTGCTTTTGTTTCCCAAGTATCAAAATAACTTCCCCTCCCAAATATCGATAAATTATCCACATTACTAGTTTGAACTTCACTAATTCATATACTTCTTTGAATGAACTAATGGTGTTGATTGGTAAATATTTAGAATTTTTACATTGACAGTCATAAGTGAGGTTGGTCTGGAGTTTTTCCTGTGGACTAGCTTTATCACATTTTGGCTTCATAAATGAACTGGAATGATGTGCTTGTCTTTCTCCATATTCAAGAAGGTTTCCAATAACCTAGGAATTGCCCATCCCTTGAAGGTTAAAAGCAAGTCACTCTTGTAACTTGGTGAGCCTGGTTGGCACTTTGGAAGTGTAATTCTTTGGCAGTTTTCTCTATTTTTTTCTATGGCTATTGATCTACTTAAGTGTTTTGTATCCTTTAAAATCAATTTAATGTATTCTTACAAAATGGTCCAATAGTTCTTACAGGTTTTCATATCAATTACCATAGAGTTGCATAGTTTTCTCATAATTTTCTAAATGTTCTCCACATCTGTGGTTATCTTTACTAATGGCTGTTATACATTTATGGTTTTTATTTTTTTAAGTATACTAGCTAATGGCTTATCTACTGTATTAGTAATTCAGAATGCCAACTCTTAGATTTACGTATTAATGTGACTTGTTTTTAAATTCATTAATATCTTTTATGAACTGACCTGCTTCCTTTTTTTCTATTCATAAAATATACTTTTTTTAAATTAGGGAATTGGGGGAGGGGAACAACATTGGGGAATCAGGGAAGGGGAACAGACAAGTTGCTGTCCTTTTGTTCTTCAGTCTAGTTGTGGAGGACATCACTTCACTGGCCCATGTTGGTATTATCACTGTGCTCTTCCTGGGTGAGGCAGTTGCTCACCGGCCATTGGACGGCCACTCATGGCGGCTCATGGCCACTCATGCTGGCCAGGCCCACTGCAGCCTACGCCATCACCGGCAACTCACAGCAGTCCAGCTCCAGGTCGAGTTGTTGTTCACCACCTTAGCTGTAGAGGACGCAGCGTCACTGGCCCTCATGTGGGATCCGAACCGGGGCCCTGCTGCTCAGAGCTGGCGTCCCAAGCCAACTCTTAACCAATGCGCCACTCAGCCGGCCCTATATACTTCTTTTAAAAAATGAAAAGTTCCCATAATCCCACCTTCCAGAGAAAAACCACTTCAATTACATATCATTTCTCCAAGTATAGTTTTCAATACCCTTTAACAATATATGATGCCCCCTTTAAGATTTTCTACACAAAAATAAAATTATACTCTACGTTGCTTTGCAACTTTAAAACAAATTAATATAATTTGGGCAAGCCCTTATCTTTTTGCTGGGTTGTTTCCAATTTTGTCATCAAAGACAATGGTGCAATCAACATTCATTCTGATAGCCGTATCTGCACACTGGCACAGGTATTTCTGTAGGATAAATTCCTTTGAGTTACACTGTTAGTTTGAAGGGTGTGAACAGTTGAAGTGTTAACACATATTGCCAAAGTGCCCTTTGTTAATATGTGCTTTTTCCTTAACTCCTTTCATCCGCTTTATGTTTTCTAATTTCTTGAGTATTACCATTTTAACCCATATTACCAGGCCAAGAAAACATAAGCAACACTCAGAATGTCCCCAAATAAATAAGGAAAATAAAAAAGGGTCAGAAAATATTTTTCCTCCCATGCTCGCCACCTTGTTTCCTTAGGTCCTGAAGACCCTGCCTATTTTGGGTCTGCTGTGGTATACCAGAAGGTAGGATATAAAACTGATGATAAAAAACAAAAAGGCTTTAATGTTCAGGTTTCATGCCTAATTTGTTTCTTTTTTGAAGAACTGGTCTTTGATGAACTGGCCTGCTTCCTGGTGTAATCCAGGTAGTAATTCAAAAGATCAGCCCAGCCAGGCCCTCATTCTTAGAGCAGACACAGAATTTTTTCATGCATAGTAGACTGCCAGACCACAAACTGAACTTAGGAAGCAAGCAAAAGCTACACAGCACTGGATGCTAATGAGTAGCAACTGAGTGATAAGAAAATTCAGACCTAAGTTTGAAATCAAAGAATATATCAGAGATAGTAAAAGAGAAGGTGAAACCTTTTTTACTGCTTATAAACCTTTGGTTAAATGTCACACTATCAAATCATTGGTTCATCTGTGGGCAGAATAAATGAAGAGTCCTGTGGATTTAGAAAGAAAGCAGAGAACGAAGCAGTTTGCCTACCCTGTCACCGATGTTGTAAGAAGGTGGAGAGGTCATCTCTATGTGCGAGATGTTGATGTGAGGCACGTCTTCAACAGGGAGTTTTGGTTCGACATTCCTGTTGGTCTGTATTTGGCTCTCAATTAGTTTGATAATTGCATCTGCTCTTTCTTTTGGCATTGGCTTTCCATGCCAACTTTCTGCATCTTCAATGTCTGAAACCAAAGGGAGAGATGGAGATGAGCAAACAGGTATGCTTTAGGGGAAAAATCAGTTAGAATTGATAGTGGACTGGGTATCTGTGTAGAGGGCATATAAGGGAGAGGCAAGGACAATACCCAGGTTTCTGCGAGGAGCAAATTGGTTAAGTGCTCATTTACTGAACTGGGTATACCAGAGTAAGACTGTATTTTGGGGAGGAGTCATACATAGAACAGTTTTATTCTAAGATGCCAATATTAAAACACAACAGGAATCACACCCTTTGCAACTATACTTTCGATGAACAACTTCAGGTATCAGCTTTGAAATCTGTAAGAAGTTAAGACTTTCAAAACCTCCTCCTTCCACAGGCCCTGAGTTCCACAGCCACGTTTCCTGAAGGCACCACTTTACTAGTTGCCTGCATGTTCTCCATGACAGTGTAGGCACGTGTGTGTGTGTATATATATATCCTTATTTACATATCTGCTCATGCATGTAGCAGCACCTTCTCACTCTACACTACCATGGAGATTGTTCTCTGCCAGTCCTCTAATCTATCCTCCTAGCCCCTCTCTCATGCAGGCAGAAAATCACTGCTCACTTACTGGGGGTCTGGACTTCCCCTGACTCTAACCAGACACGCTATCAAAGCCAAAGAGAGCAAGAGCCTACAGCACATATTTCAGCCATAGTCACTGTGTACTAAGTCAGCTGTCTTCCCGCCCAGCCTGAGTCTCCCCCCGCCTTGTCTTCTGAGCAGATAGGTGTTTTTAATAACCCCAGTAGAAAAGAAACACTGTTTACTTGGAATTCCCCGGCCCTTGAAGGTCTTCGCAACTATAGCAGTGGGTTTGTTTTTCACTTGAGTTGCTTGCCAGAACACCTGGCACAGAGCCTCCACGTCGCGGCCATCCACTGTGAAAGTATTCCACCTGTCAACCAAGGAGGAGGCCAGGTTACAAGGTGATGAGGAGACGGGGCAGAAAGTGGTGACATAAAACAAGACACAGTTACCCAAAGACTTCGCAGCGCTTCTGATAGATGTCTATGCAGTGCTCGAGGGGCAAGGTGCCACTGTGGCCCAGGCGGTTCACATCGAAGATGGCCACGAGGTTGTCCAGATTGTAGTGGGAAGCGAAGGCCAATGCCTCCCAGACGGAGCCTTCCGAACACTCACCATCTCCCACAAGGCAGAACACTCGGTAGCTGGGGCAAGCCAAGAGAAGGTTAGGACCCTGCATGGGGCTCTTCAGGGACACTCAAGCAAATACATTTTATGCAACGAAATAAAGAAACAGACTGAGGCCGCTGCTTCAGGTCATCAGGTTCTTAAGACTATTTTTATCAACACTGTCCAAACTCAACATCTGAGGAAACACAGCTTTAAAAAGCTTGGCCTCCCAGACAAGAAAAAACTAAAGGAATTCATTACCACCAAACCAGTATTACAAGGAATGTTAGAGGGACTTCTTTAAGAAGAAAAAAAAAGATAAAAATTATGAGTAATAAAATGGCAATAGCTACATATCAACAATTACTTTAAATGTAAATGGATTAAATGATCCAATCTAAAAGACAAAGGGTGGCTGAAAGGATAAGAAAAGAAGACCCTTACATATGCTGCCTACAAGAGACCCACTTCAGATCAAAAGACACAGACTGAAAGTAAAGGGATGGAGAGAGATATTTCATGCAAATGGAAATTTTAAAAAAGCTGGGGTAGCAATATTTCTATCAGACAAAATAGACTTTAAAACAAAGGCTATAACAAGAAACAAAGAAGACCGAATGATTCCACTCCTGGGTATTTATTTACGTGAAGAAACCCAAAAAACTAATTTGAAATGTCATACGCATCCCTATGTTCACTGCAGTGCTATTTACAATAGGCAAGATATGGAAGCAACCTAAGTATCCATCAATAGATAATTGGATAAAGAATATGTGGTACATATATACAATGAATATTATTTGCCATAAAAAAAGTGAAATTTTGCCATCTGCAACAACATGGATGGACCTAGAGGATATTATGCTAAATGAAATAAGTCAAACACAGAAAGACAAATACCATATGATCTCACTTACATGTGGAATGTAAAGAACAAAATAAAAGAATAAAACAGAAACAGACCCACAGATACAGAGAACTGATGGTTGCCAGATGGGAGGGGTTTGGGGGAATAGGTGAAAAGGGGGAATGGATGAAGATGTGCAAATTGCCAATTATAAAAACAGTCACGGGGATGTAAAGTACAGCATAGGGAATGTAGTCAATAATGTAATAACTAGGTATGGAGTCAGATGGGTACTAGACTTATCAGGGTCATCACTTTGTAAGCGATATAAATGTCTAATCACTATGTCATACACCTGAAACTAAAAGAAAAAATGTATGTCAACTGTAATTGAAAAATAAAATATTTTGAAAAAGCTTGGGCCTCACAAGATGGGATTCACCTGTGGCTAGTTTTCTCATTCCAGTTGTAAAGTCTGTTTCTAGGTTCTTTCACTTCTCTGGGCCCAACAAATAAGAGGGGGTGGGGAGAAAGCAGCTCCCTTAAATACTCTAACATTTACATATACATTCTTGGTATGCTTCATTTTAAGCACTACCACCTTCTACTCTTGATCTTACAAATTTACAATAATCATAACAATCAAAACATTCTACCTCAGGAGCATATGTTCTGTTGTAAATGGCAAACTCTTCTGTAGCAAAAACATGAAACTTATCAGTAAAACACAACCCAGACCCCACAAAAATGCTGTAAGTGAAGTTCTAAAAAACAGTGATTAACTGCAGGATAAGGACTAACAGAGGCAATAATGAGAGGTGGAAAATGTTAATAGACTTATTGGAAATGGAGTGAGGCAGGTGCCCAAGCAGTGGAGGAAGCATGAAGTGCCTCCAGAGGGGTCACCTAGGCTGGAATCAGGCACTGAGGAGCTCTGGACTCAGGCATGCCAGGGAAGTCAGGGCATAGAACCTGTACACTACCATGCCAACCTTGGGCCCCTCCTTAGCCACTCGCCCCCACCTTGCTCCCCTATCAGCAGCAACTGGGCACATGGCCCTGTAAGAAAGGCACTGATCTGCCTGTCTTTAGAAAGGTGGAACCACTCCAGAAAAGAGACTCTTGACTATTAATATTTAGGAGTCCTCAATGCAAGGGTCAATGTGCCATCTGTCCAGCTCACTGAGAGATGGAAAATAGGAAGATGTCTCTTAGGAAAGACTCGAGTCCTAATAAACTGGTTGCTATATGGAGGCAGCACTTAGAACCCAACCAGAGATGCTAAAACAGTCTTCCAGAAACACGATTTCTTTACTGCATGAACACTTGGTAATCTGAGCTTTCAAAACGATCACTTTGTTCCCAAACTAATAAGGAATAAATAAAGCCAAAAATGCCTGGGGGGTGGGGTGGGGACAGCAGTTAAGTGGTTTCTGGGTAAGCGCCTTACCTGGCCTTGTCAAAGTACTTGCCAGTATATGCCATCCCGCATGCAGCCCCCAGTCCTTGTCCAAGCCATTTGGTTGGTTGTACATCAAGAAACGGCAGTCTCTGTTAAGAGAAGGGACCAAATGAACCTAGGTGTACCTATAGGACATGGGTATCAGGAAGTTGAGTATCAGGCCGACTTAACGGAAGCATAGGCTGCTCCTCAGAACAGCCCCTCTTAAGGGCCGGCCAAGTTGCTCGGTTGGTTAAGAGCTTGCTCAAGAGTGCGAGCTCTGAGCAACAGCGGTTTGATTCTTGGCCCGTGCTGAGTTGCCGATGAGCTGCCAATAGGTGGCAGGATGGCTCAGCTAAAGGAAAAAAAAAAAGAACAGCCCCTCTTGCCCTGTGTGGGGACTTCCTCGTCGCTACACCCACATGCACCCTAACTCTCAGATCAACATCACAAATTTGGGAGCCATTGGTAATTAACGCAGCATGGGAAGGGCAACATGTTTTGTGGACATGGAGGATTTTCTTCCACATGGCAGCCTAAACAGAGCCCAAGAGCAAAGCAGAAAACCGAAGTACAAGCCTTGCCATTTCACAGGGCCTTTCATCCAGCCATGCACAAACCAAATGTTTAATCTTTTAGGGGAATACGGGCTCTTAAGACACACTGAACTTACTCAAATTCCACTGCCACCATCTTGGCCTGGTCACAAACTCTCTCCCCTTCAGTCATTGCAGTGGCCTCCCTGCTCTTCCACTGCCATTCTCAACACAGCTGCCAGGAAGAGCCTGTTAAAACCTAAGCCTCTTCATCACTCTCTGCCAAGAACTATCCAAGGATTTGCCATCTCGTGACAAGTAGAGCCCAAGTTCTTGCACTGGCCTGTCCACTCTGGCTCATCACTTTTTAGTCTCCCTCCCACCACTCGGGGTACTCTGGCCTCCTTACTACCCCTTGAACGTACTAGGCACATGCCTGTCTCAGTGCCTTAGCACTCGCAGCTCACTCTTCCCCAAGTGCTCAGTACTCATGCCTAAATAGGCACACAGCTCACTCCCTCAGTCCTTCCAAATCTCTGCTCGAATGTCAGGAACAAGGGCTACCTGGATCACCTCTTTCATCTAGTATCCCCTACCCCTCCTCTTCCCTTGTATGCAGGATGCTCAGCCCCATCTGACATGCTATTTATTTACAGGTTTGTTTCTTGTCTACCCTCGCCTCCATTCAAATGTCAGCTCCATTCAAGCAGAGGTTGGTGTGTGCTGTCACTACCATGGATGGGTACTTGTTAGTCTCAGATTCCTCTCCCATCCTGCTCCACCCTATTCCTCTGCTCCTCCCAGGGCTCTTGAACTTCCCTAGCTTTCTTCACAGGCTTTGTGCTCCCAGAGACTCCCTCTCCGCACTGCATCTCTATCCCCACAGAACGATCCCACTGAAATCTCTCCTGATGAAATCTGTAGCTCTATCCTCCTCCCCATGGCTGCTGCCTTAATTCTGCAACAAGCTCTGGCTCACAGTTGCCTTGTAGGCCCTTGGACTGACTCTTGGCACTTAGACCAACTCTGCTTCTCCCTGGCTTTAAAGCAGGAGCAAATGAAATCTCCTCCTCAAGGCTTCACTTTATGGATACGATGGAGATAAGAGCCCTCCTCAAGCAGCAGGAGGCTGTAGGATTGACTGAGATTGTCAGGGCTCCAGCACAATGTTGGCATGGTGGAAGTGCTCCCACATGGGTTCCCTTCTCTTCTACAAGAACCCTTATGCTATGGAGGGAGACCCTCACAATTGAGTGGGGGGGGGCAAGGACTAAAATAAAGATGTGTACAAGGTGCTATAGGCACCCAGAAAAGAAAGACTTCTCTTCCATGTTCTCATCTTTGCCCCAGCACAAAGTCCACTCCAAGAACAAGTTTATAGAAAGGCCTTTTGGTTACTTTCCAGGCCACCTTGGCTGGAGAAAAAAAAAAGAGCAGAAAAACAAAAACAAAGGCCTGGGTAGGGGGATGGGGGGCATCACAAGGATACCCCCCAAGCCTTCAGCAGCATGAGGGCTCTAAGGGAACGCAAGCATCTCACAGCAACACTGCCCACCTTTAGCAGTCAGCCTAATGCAGTTGTCTGCGTAAGACACTCGTGTCCCAGGAGCACTGATCATGATGCCCCTGGCTCCTCTGCCTGTAGTGAGTCCATCTACTCTGTTCCCAGCCAAAGCCAAGATGGACCACACTCCTGTGTGTTTTCTCTTTTCTTCCAATTTTATCTGCTGCTTCACAATCTGATGAACACGAATTCTGGCAGCTGAACAGTGCCCAGCCTGCAACTGCACGACAGAAAGCCTCTTTATCCCTCTAAGGCCAATGACTCCGATTATCTGATAGGATAACAACAGTTATGGGATAGTCTAGGCACCTTTCCTTTTTCTAAACTGGAGATCTGAATACTCATACTGTGTTTGTACATCCATATTTATTAGGTTTTTATTGTAAAGGGTACAAGCTTATAAGAAAGTTGTAAGAATAGTACAATGAAGTCCCACATACTCTTCACCTAGATTCGCCAACTATGGGGTTGTTGGAAAAGTCATGATGCATTTTTGCAATGAAAAACAGAAAAAATACGTCATGACTTTTCCAACAACCCAATATTACGAATGGACCCCTTTGCTTCATCTCTCTCTACATACTTATGCCAAACATCATTTGACATTACGTTTCAGACACCAAGACAAAACTTATAACTACGACCCCAGATACTTTGACCAGGCCCATATTCTGACTTTGTCTTTAAACTAATTCCTGCTGCCCAGATATGGGGTTTCTATTTCTACATAGTGCTCTACCAGTTGAGTTTTAAATGATTGGATCAGGACACAGTCAACTTTCAGATAGCATTAAAACAGCTGCACATTCTTCTAGATTGACCTTGCTTTTAACGTTCTTTTTCTTTCCTGTCTCCCAATGTAATGAGATACCTGGTACTATACCTAGTCTAATGAGAAAGTCTCCCATTGGTGTCAAGTCAGAGCTGCAGAGAAATGAAGAGAAAACTGACTGACAGGGTGGGATGATCCTCCAAATCCAACTCAATTTTCCTTCTGCTCAGCAAGTCGAATCTGCTGATGTTGCCCACCTCTATCCAGGTGGCAGAGGATGGGAGAGCATGACCCTGCCAAGGTGGGCTTTAGTGCTAGTGGTGTGAGGGGGAGCATCACCAAAGGAAAGGAAGGGCAGCCAGTTGCCATAAGTCACCATTCCCACCACACAGTCCTCACTAGTAACACCTTTTAGATCTTTATGAGTTGCGATGGTCTGAATGTTTGTGTACTTACTTCCAAATTCAGATGTTGAAAACATAATTCCCAAGGTGATAGTATTAGGAGATGGGATCTTTGAGTGGTGATTAGGTCATGAGAGCAGAACCTTCAAGAATGAGATTAGTGTCCTTATAAAAGAGGCCCTAGAGACACCACTTCTTCTGCCATGTGAGGATACAATGAGAAGTGTGTCACCAGGTAGAGGGCCCTCACCAGAACATGACCATGATGGAGCTTTGCTATTCGACTTCCAGCTCCCAAAGCTGTGAAAAATAAATTTCTATTGTTTATGAACCACCCAGTCTGTGGTATTTCATTATAGCAGCCCAAATGAACTAAGATGTAAGGCAAAGAAAGAACCAAAAGGATAAACAGGCAATTTCAGGCCTTGTTGCCACATGGTGGCTTTAAAAATGAGTTTAAGAAGCAAGCCTCTGAGCAGGCCCTGGGTTCCCATGCTGGTTTACCTTGTAGAGGATGAATCGGTCGTTGTTCGGGTTGTCTGGGTCCGTCTGTTTGTACCTCATGACATGGAAGAACAGCACGGACATGATCTCAGCAGCATTGCTGCATGATGTGGGGTTGCTGAAAGACAATCATGGCACAGGTCACTTCTCACAGGTAAATGACTCCCCAGGGACATGGTGCATGAGGCGGCTTTTTTTAGCACATTGTCTCCCCACACCAAAAGCAGCAGTCATTACTCCCAGCCCTGGAAGAACCCAGCCAAGGGAAAGGGATGCAGGGCTGCTGCCTCCCAAGCTCATAGCTTTTAAGGATGTGTTAAGGCCAAATAGCCTCACAACTTCTCTCCCTGTGGAGAGCAAGACCTCCAAGGCCAGTCCCCTTCTATCAATGGAGCACCTGTGTACTTGAGGCAAGTTCATGTGGTGACTCCATAAGTACTTGAACATTCTTCCACTTGTTTGAATTCATCTCTGATATCATTCATCAGAAACGCCATGAAGCAGAAATAAACCCATGCATGTATGGTCAACCAATATTTGACAGGGGAACCAAGAATCCTCAATGGAGAAAGGACAGTCTCTTTAATAAATGGTGCTGGGAAAATTGGATAGTCACATAAAAAAATGAAATTAGACTCCTATCGCACACAGAAATTAACCTGAAATAGATTAAGAGTTAAATGTAAGACTGGAAACCATTAAACTCCTAGAAGAAAACACAGAAAAAAAGCTCCTTGACATAGATCTTGGTAATGATTTTTTGGATAGGACACCTAAAACTCAAGTAACAAAATAAAAAATAAACAAGTGGGCCTACACCAAACTAAAAAGCTTCTGCACAGCAAAGGAAGCCATCAACAAAATGAAAACAACAACCTACAGTATGGGAAATAATATGTACAAACCTATATATCTGATAAGGGGCTAATATCCAAAATATATAAAGAACTCATACAACTCAAAGAGAAAGGTCCAATTAAAAATGGTTAGGGCCGGCCGAGTGGCTCAGTTGGTTAAGAGCTCGCTCAAGAGTTTGAGCTCTGAGCAACAGCGGTTCAAGTCCAGCCCGAGCTGAGCAGCCGCTGAGCTGCCAACAGGTAGCAGGATGGCTCAGCTAAAAAAAATAAATAAATGGCTAAAGGGGGCCGGCCGAGTGGCTCGATGGCTAAGAACTGGCTTGGGACGCCAGAGGGCCCTGGTTCGGATCCCATATATGAGGGCCAGTGACACTGCCCTCCACAGCTAAGATGCTGACAAACAACTTAACCTGGAGCTGGGCTGCCTTGAGTCGCCTGCGACGGAGTAGGCTGCAGCCCCTGTGGCAGTGGGTTGCCATGGGCTACCGTGTTTAGCCAGAAGCCGGCAACTGATCTGCCTCCCCCGGGAAGAGCGCAATGATAGTGCCAACTTGAGCCAGTGAAGCCACGTCCTCCACAACTAGACTGAAGAACAAAACGACAGCAACTTGTCTGTTCCCCTTCCCCCAATTCCCCAATAAAAAAATCTTTAAAAAAACCCCAAAAACCTCTGAGAATGAAAAATTGAATTTGATGGTCTTACTGGTGAATCCTACCAAACATTTAAAGAATTAGCATTAATCTTCAAACTGTTTTTTTTAAAAGATTTTTATTGGGGAATTGGGGAGATGGGAATAGCGCTGGGGAATTGGGGGAAGGGGAACAGACAAGTTGCTGTCGTTTTGTTCTTCAGTCTAGTTGTGGAGGACGTGGCTTCACTGGCCCA